TATTACCTCAATCTCGAAACTCATAATCCTGTACGCAGCAAGAAACCCGAAGAAATAATAATTAAAAATCAAATGATTATAATCAAACTGCTCATACTTTTTACTCTCTTCAATCCTTTTCTTCTTCACACTTTTTTTTTCACTATCTTATCGAGATACTTTTTTTTCAAAAATGTTGTGAATCCCAATCCTGGTTCAGAAGCTTTGAGTGCCATTTTATCAAACTTACTCTTCAAAGGCCAGTTCTTCCTGACCCAATAGACTGATTGCTTTTTAAAAATAGCCTCCGTTGAGATGTGTAAATCATTTATTTTATCTGGCATAATAAACAGTAAGAATTGTGTTTCATGAAGACAAGCAACTGTGCTTCCAATAGTATGAACATGAAACTTTTTTTCATAAAGATCCCTCAGCGTATCGACGTTGCGCTTCAAGACTGGAGATTTCCAAATATTTTTTCAAGTTCATTCACTCATTTTATCCTCTCCAGCCCCTAGTAATAAAACAAGTTCAAAAATGTTAAAAATAGTCTATCCTTCAACGTTATAAATTTCTTTCTAGACCCATTAGCTAATGCATCCATAGACAGAACATTGAAATATATAGCAAAGACAAATTGTAGACAAAATTATCCTTGAAAAAGACTGGGAAGGTCGAGGGTTGCAAAATCATGCGTGCGTGTCGATGGTTAACGTGTGCATCCGTACAATGTAAAGCGAACACGTATAATACATATTCATTATCATAAACCGAATCCGTTTCAAATATTCTTATCACTTCCATCTCATTAATTAACAGTTGCTATCAAATTATGGCATTTTATTTTATTAGTTGCTAAACTGGTAAACTGATCTTACCAGCTATCGTGCGTTGCGTATCTCGATATTTTCAGCCAGAATAAAAATCTGAGGTGAAAAAAATGTGGGTCACTCTGGGAAAAAGCTATCGAATCTAAGTAAAAAAATCACTGAATTTTTCATCCTCTATTGTCCGAGAATGCCCATTAAATCTATCGGATGTTGAACACGTGTGTCTGCAAGCATATGGTCTCGATTCTTGAGTGGAGAAAATCCCACTGTATAATGTATGCCGGGTCGGGTGTATGTAGATGCTGGTATGCATGCATACGGGTCTCTCCTATGTTCTACTCGGAATGTAGACCCGAGTTAAGTGAAGCTGCCTGGAGTTGTATCATGTCGGAATGGTGAAGACACCCCACGATCACACTGCTGTACACTGGATTTAAAACAGATTTGCAGTAAGTATACCCGAGTCAAAATTTAAGTCGTAGATTCAACGTATTGAACGTTTAAACCGTAAATTCGACGTATTGAACGTTGAAAACGTAAGTTCAACGTATTGGACGTTGAAATCGTAATTTGAACGTATTGAACGTAAAAAATATAGATTCAACTGTTTTAAGAAGAATATATGATCCGTAGTAAAAATTAAAAGTTACAAATGTCATATACCAAACCGTAAAAAATAACCTATAGGCTAAATTTATTTAAAAGCTTTTCCCAAAGATTTGATGATTGAGTTAATGTTTAGCTACTTGCTTATTTAATCAACTAATAAAATTACGGTTGATTGGAATTAAGGAAGTTATTCAATTAAGATTGATTTTTGAGAGCCAAATTCTCATTCAATCTCGATATTTTGAGATCTTTGAAAAGTATTAGATTGATTTTTATTTGCATTTCAAAAATATTTTGAAGATTTGAGGAGCTCATTTGACCGACTTATAGTTAGATTTTCAAGCATAAAGCTTCAATATACCTAAAATTTCATTAATAATTAAAATTTTCACTTCAGTGGAATGAATTTGTAAAATATACTTGCATGCATGGTGCACCAGCAAAATTTAAAATCGATTTACGCTCACAATACGTTGAATGCGTTCAACTAACGTTTTTAACGTTCAATACGTTCAAGTTACAATTTCAACGTCCAATACGTTGAACTTACGTTTTCAACGTTCAATACGTCGAATGTACGATTTGAACGTTCAATACGTTGAATCTACGACTTAAATTTCGACTCGGGTAGATCCTAATCCTGAAAATCTATAGTCAACGTGCATAATCTACTGTTCGGCCAATGAACTACTAAACTTCTGTATGGTTTTCCTCGAATTTCATACTTTTTATCTTGAATCTCTCATGGGTGATGCAAGAAATTTTTCCTTGAATTTTATACTATATTCATGAATTTATTGAGAAAATACTTCATGATTTCTTTGATAAATTTTTTAATCTGTGTACAAACAGATTAAGGAAAAACTACATGATTTTCCTGTCAAATTTAAGAAATTTTCTTTCTTAAGGGGGATAGCCCACTGTGAAATTTCAAAAAAAAAAAATTTTTTTTTTATTAAATCAAAGTTTATATATTCGAAAATATGTATCTACTTTTTCTTATGAAAATTTCGAATATTTTTCGAGTTATAGTCATTTTTGTGACAGCGCGTCAAATGAACGTTGCATGCGCGGTGCTCCGAAGAAAACGTGTTTGTCTCAAAATTACTTTTTTTGAACTGGTGAGATCTATAATTTGCATAAATATGAACCGATTTGCAACTTTTTTTTTTCCGTATTCGTCTATTCAGTAGATATAGTTGCACGTGGGGGATTTCGAAAATTTTGATTTTTAAGATTTTTTAGGGCTGTTTGAATCCAAAAAAATTAGAAAAAAAAAAACGAAAAAATTATTAATATGTCGCCATTTTTTTTAAATCTAAATTTTCAAAATTTTCAAAATCCCGTACGTGGAACGATAACCACATGCATGCAGATTACAACGCAGTTTGGTTTTTTTGTTTTAGATAATCTGTTTTTGAGTTAGAGATGAGACTGTGGTGGGGGAAATTTTTTTGGTGCACCACAAAAATGCTTATAACTTTGTAACAACTTGTTATTTTTTAATAAAAATTCAGGAGAATGATCTTCAATGTATACTTTATAAAACAAAAAAACCCGATCCCCAAATTATAACTTTGGTCTTCCTAAAAATTTTCTTGGAGGAAGAAATTCCATTTTTTTGTGTCTGCTCTATAAATGCAAGAAAATAAAAATTAGACAAATTTAAATTATAAAAGCTGTCAGTAACGATGAACAAATTTTGGATTAGTAATCCTAATATTAAGCACCGTTCCTATTTGATTTTCTTGATTAAAGTTTGATTCGCTCTTATTAAGAGAAACTGTACTATTTTAATTGCGCTTATAAGGTAAATAGAAACTTGAAAATCAAATTTATCATTATCAAATGAAAATTTTTATTGCAATTCTAGGGAATGACTCTTAAGATTAAGTAAAATCAACAATCATTGACACTACAAGGGGAGAAGTTATAATTTTATTCTTTTTATTATATTATCAAAATTTAATATAGTTGAATGTTTATTATCACAATAAGTTAATCAGTCTTTTTTATTGTCAAATTCATACGTTTTGATCACTATCGATATTCTCCCCGTTAAATTAAGCCAAAAAACTTCGGCTTAACAGTGATTTATTCGAATGAATCTTGTTCAGCACAGATCCCCTCTCATTTTCCGTATCATCAATTCAGCCATGAAATACGAACGAAATAGAAATAAATACTCGAGGAATAAATAGTAGGGAGATAACAAGCAAAGTCGCTGAGAGTGAGAATGCTCCCAAGGTCTTTCCCAATGAACGTAACTAAAGTGAAAGTCACGTGGCGGCCGCCTCAACAGTTTTTCATCAAATACCAATTCAGTATCATAAACAATGTTCCTCTGGCAAATCAGAGGTTCACTAGCTCTCTAGTATCGACCCATATTCGTGACCTAGTGACAAAAAATATTTTCCTTTATTTTCCTGTACACACTCAGTAATTATTTGTGAATAGGGATTTCCATTCAACGACAGTCTTACTCTGAAAGTTTACCAAGTGCCTCGTTTCTTGTGCTCCAATAAATGTATCTGTAATGTTTATTGCGTCTGTTCTATATCCATATTCATTAAATATTATTATCAATATCCATGACTTGACAAGTGAGTAAGAAGTCATTTTTATTATCGTTTAATATTTTTCAATAATTTATTTAATAAAAAAATAAGAAACACTAAGATACTCCAAATAAAAATTTGAGAATAGTTTTTTTTTAGAAATGAAAGTTAAAAAAATAGATTAAAAATTTAATTTGTACCTTTTAGATTTTTTCAGGACAAAATTTTTTTTTTGATATCTTGTTTGTTTGAATTTTTATTATTTTCAATGAGAACAAATTGAAAAAATACGAAAAATTGTAATTTTCTTCCAATAAATTATTTAAGAAAAAAATATATTGACTTGTAGAAATTAAAAGCATTAATAGTGCGGATCAAAGAAAAAATGTTTTCATTCATATTCACTTGATAAAAAATATAGAGTACGTAAGTACATGAATGAAAAATTGTGTGAAAAAATTTATGTAATATTTTTAATCAATAATTTTCCCTTGGAAAAAATTTTTAAATTAAATGAAGTCAATTAATATAAAAAATATGATTGATTTAAAAAATAAAACATAAAATAGAGTAATATAATCCTGAAATAATACAATAGACACTAAGGAATATTATTATCATTGCAAGTAGAGTAAACTGCGCAACTACAGGATTTAACGACTTGTCAGGAGTGCGCTCGCGCATCTTGGATTTCCCGGGGAATCGGGACTTTCCGGGCTACAAAACGGCTTTTTCATCATCATTCGCCATAACGCAACCTTCCTGCCTGGGTGTCCAACAGTAACGGCAACAGGTGAGAGACATTGACATACTCGGTTATTCGAGTATATTTTTTATTAGATAAAAAAGTTTAACTCATTTAAAACTTGCTTTTATCACTTGCCGCTCGGTACAAATAACTTTATTCGATAGTCTATAAATTGTTTAACTATTTTTTTATTTTTATCGTCTCTTGCTATACGTGTGACAATGCATTTACTTTTTTTTTTCGTTTCAGTTTTACAGAAAGTAACGTCAAGTAAACATGAGCGTCGAGGATGTTATCAATTATAAGCGGAGCGACGATGAAGATTTTTACGCCCTTCTTGGGTGTGACGAGTCTGCGACGGTAATTCAATTTAATTTAATTGTTAATAATTGAATGCAAATTTTTTTACTCAAGTTATTTCATTAAAAGTGTTTTATTTAAACTGTTACAATTTTATTTAAAAAAATTATTTTTAATATAATAAAATTTAAAAAAAATTTAATTAATGAATTACGTTTTAATTTATTTATTTTTAAGGTCGAACAAATAACAGCTGAGTATAAAGTACTTGCACTTCAGTACCATCCAGATAAGAACGAGGGCAACAAGGAAGCTGAGGAAAAGTTTCAGCAGCTCAAGGTAAAAATTTGTTATTGTTGTCGGTGGTATTAATTATTATTATTAAAATTATAATAATAATAATAATGTATCGACCATCAACTTTATTTAAATATAACATTTGTAAGTGTAACTGTGCAACTATATTTGTCAGCTATAAATGTATTTGTTTTGTGAGTAAATACATAACTGATGAAATATAATGAATAAATATTTGATTACATGATATTTATCTCCTGCGCATATCTACCAAATGATCAATAATTTAATATAATTTTTATTCAGAATGCCAAAGAGATACTTTGCGACCAAGAAAAAAGAAGCAACTACGATAAATGGCGACACAGCGGAGTCCAGGTCAGCTATAAGCAGTGGGTTGGGATGAAAGAGCATGTCCACCAGGTATTTTATATTTTTATATTAAATTTACTTTAATGATACTCTAAACGGGAGTGTCAATATGAAAACGGGTAATTTTAGTTTATGTAATAAACTTTTAACTGATTGAACTTTATTCAATTTTTATTTATTTCTATTTTATATTTATATTACCACAGCAAAGTAGTTGATGTTTGAAAATTTTATATTATAAATTTAAAAATATTTATTATATTAAAAATTTCACGCATTCTTTTTTCATTTTTTTAACTAAAAAAAATTTTTTTCCAATTTCTACTTTTTAATATTTTTTTTATCTTGAATAATTTATAAAAAAAAAAAATTCCATGTTTTAAATTTTTTATTAAAAATAGTTGACATTGAAATTTTTTTAACAAGTGACATTAAACAAAATTTTTTTTTTTTAATTCGTCCTTGTGAAAATGTTTAAAAACAAGTAATAATAATTTTTTATTTTTATTGTTTTAACATTTCCGTATTTTTGTATTTATAGAAAAAATTACACCTACTAATTCGTAATTTTCAATAATAAGATACAAAGAGTAATTTTGCATTATTTTACAGTGAATTTTATAAAAAACTATAAATTATTTTTTCTACTGAGTGCAAGTAAAAATAAAAATTCTTACAATTTTTTTTTTTTAATTTGTTTAAAGTCGCATAAACTACTAAGGTCATGAGCGACTACGGTAGGGGGTAAACTTTTGAGATTGGAACTCGTTTGTATTTCTTGGGCTGAGCAGAATAATACACTTAAATATTGAAAATATTCATTGGTGTACGCCGGATTCGAACACGGTCCAATGTTTTGGTAGCAAGAGCCGGATCCGATAGGCTACTGCGCGCTTTCTTACAATTTATAAAACAAAAATTCATTATAATTACTTTAAAATAATTTACCCCAAGTTTGTTTACTTATAAACTAAAAGTTATTTAATAACAAGAAAGGAATGCATAAATTTACCTCCTCATTTAAATCAGTTTAATTCCCTCGGATATAAAACACAAGTCAGTGTAAGGAAATTTGATTTTCCTCGTGAATTCTTGAAGCATAGATTTCATTTCTGCGTTATGTAATTCCTGGTAAATAATGCGAGTTATTTTTAGCCATCATTAGAAAAGTTTATCCAACTTATACAACTATAGAGCTCGGAGTTTATACAAGACGCGTTTAAAAGTTCTTTTGATATTTAAAAATAATACTCGGTTTTTAAATTTCATCACGCGACATTTTACTTTGTAATTGCGCGTCAATTTTCTCGCCTTCTCTAACTTTGTTATTTTAAAAGCTTTCTAGTCCTTACTCGTTCACCCAATTGCATTATTTTTCAGTGAATTTCAAACAGGCCATTAAAATTAAATTCATAAATTTTCAAACAATATTTTATTTTGTTGAAATGTATGTAAATAATTGAAGTATAAGAAATTTTGATCAATCATCAAGAAAAATTAATTTGTTAACGTTTTTTTTTTTTTTTTTTTAAGTAGGTCTAAAACTAAATTTCAATGCAAATTAACCCGGATAATTTATTAATCTGTTTAGTCGATGCACTGGAGTACACCAAAGACGAAAGACCGAATGTTGCCCGACGGAAGCGGCGCCGGCGGATCTCCAGGACACGTAAGAGGTCAGCCAGCAAACGCACACAGACGGGCCTCCGAAGGGGGTGCTAATATTCACTACGGGGCTCGTCGCGATCTCAACTGGGACTCCCAGGCGTCCAGCGAAGTCGTTAACAAGTTCCGTAACTACGAGATTTAAAGAGGTAGTGGCTAAAACTACAGCAATTACAAACAAGACAACAACTGTAACTATACACAAGGGAGTAACAAGTAAAGGCGAGCGATTTAATTGTTTCCCACATCAGACCTAAACATCGTGATACATTGATATATACATACATTATTGATAAAATTTATTGATGACTAAAATACTGATGACAACTCTTATATTCATTAAGATAATTGACGTAATTGTTCTATCTAAAGCCGTTTACGATGTTCTGGACCATCGTTACTTATTTAAATTAATTAATATATTATTAACCTTAAGGTTTTACACAATCGCCTTGTACACATACACATGGACTCTATAAAAAACAAATAACATTTATTAAAAATTTTATTAGTGCTGCAATTTTCAACAATCAAGTGAAAAAATCGGTTCTTAAATGGGTACAAATTTATATTATTTGTGTAATTTATAAATTTTGTGGAATTAATTCCGTGAAATGTGAAGGCGTTACGGGAAAGTAAAAGCGCGCGCTATTTAAATTTGTTTTTTTTTTTTACTAAAATCAGATATAACTTGAAAAAATTATCTCAAAATAAGCGATTATTAAAAATTTTACCTTAATACTCATGTAATTTCTGGAAATTATCGTTAAAATTGAGTAAAGAACTCTCATGACTTTTGTAAAGTGTGACAAGGCGTTTCAAAAAAGTAAAAGCGCGCATTATTTGACTTTTCTCTGCACTGAAATTAGATGTAACTTAAAAGTTTTTTCAAGATAAGTTATTATTAAAAATTTTGACCTTAAAATTCATTTAATGATTATAAAATATTATTCATCATAATTTTTCTAAATTCGATCGATTGATTGAAGCACTTAATACTTACTACCGATTTTTGGATTAATTGATTGTTTTTTGTAACACTAAAAAAACATACAAGAACAATATGACAGTGAAAGTGCTAGGCGTACAATTTTAAAATATGTCAATAGAAAAAAATTGAGAAATTGAATATCGAAGTATTTTTGAATCTTTATGTATATTTTTGAAATTTTTATTTTCAATATAAAATATTCATTAAACTATTTAGTTGAGAAATTGCTATAAAATATTATTGGACGTCTGTTACTTTCAGTATCATATAAAAACACTATATATATATATATATATAAATAAATAAGAAAATAAATGAAAAAAGAAATAAGCGTAAATTCTCGGGTAAAGTAATCAGGTCCTTTGATAGATCCCCGGCGGAGTTCAAAGGATCAATAAAATGAATTTAATCAACGTTTGTTAGGACACGGTGTCTATTAGCGATATATTCTATTGAGAGTTTTATCTGAGAGTTGCGTATATATATTAATATAAACAATATATATTATATGTAATGTGAACTGGTGAAAATTGAGCGGTAATAATAATAATAATATTAATATTAATAATGAAAAATGATGTTACATTGTATTTATGGATACTCGCGATATAAATCGAGTTCGAGTCTTGTTACGCGACAGTTTAAATACTCGCGCAATAATACCAGAGTTTATTAATTGTATAACAAATCACGAGATATATAATGCTAGATTATTTATTGTTTCAAGTAATGTTAAATATGTCCGTTTAGTTTTTTCAATCCGACGTCGTCAATTTAATCATCATCTTTCATCTTTTATTATTTTTATTTTTTCCTTCACAGCGACTGCATGACCTCGTATTTCTTGTCAAGAGATTGACAGAATGGGTTTTAAAAAAATTCTTGCCTTCGACCTAACATTAACGGTTACTTCGTTATTTTACTTCATAATAATAATAACAATATTAGTGTACTTTTTATTTTATTCTAGTTATTTAATTTAACGTTCAATTTGCTGTTAATTGTTTAATAGTTTATTTATTAAAAGTAAATTACCGATGAAGGATAATTAATTAAAAAAAATATATATATATATATATTTTTCAATGATATCAATTACTCTCAATCTTGCCAACCGGAACATAAATTTTTTTTTAAATTAATGAATTAGCTACCGATTGATTGAATACCGGACTTTGAAGTGTCGAGATTTAATTCAACTTGAACCAGTTTCAAAAGTCTTGCGCTCTTTTCGATCAGTTTCAAGTATATTTTCCGAGATGTGAATTTCAAAGAGTTTAATAAAATCTGTATATATATACAACTATATTTATATTTATATTTATATTTATCTAAAATGTATGAGTTAGCTGTCTATTGAAGCAAATCCTTTTATCAAATTGAAGATTATTTATATACTCGAGTATGATCATATTCATATACACAGACATTTTTCTTCTATATTTACGTGGATATACACGTCTATTAAAAGACAATTGTTTAGTTTACCCAATAAAAAGTATGAGAGGTATATGTGGAACCATCAACTATGATATAAAGGACTTTATTCACGATCATGAATTACTTATATTACGGCTCGTCATGTCTTTCACTACATTATAATGCGATCAATATTCGTGATTAAATTATTATACATTGTTCGTTGTAAAGGTATATACATACTATATTATGATATGATGAAAACATTTTATTTCCATCAACAGGAAATAATGTTACGATATGATATTGAAAACATAATCTTGTAATTAAATGTTTATGGATTTTTTTTTTTCAATCGAACTTAATTTCAAAGTGGTTACTTTGTGAGTGAGGAATTTTTTTGAAAAAAAATTTTTGTTCTTTAGTTAATATTTTTTTTTAAATAAATTGAGTAATTAAAAAAAATTTACAATTCTTGTCAGCATATTTTTAATAAAAAATGTAATAATAAAGTCAAAAATAATTAAAAATTTTGACTTTATGCAAGATTATATTAAACAAAAATTCAAAAATTTTTGAGCTGCTTGGAATAGTCTAACCGTTCGCGGCGGTCATTTTGTAACCCGAGCTTGAAAGACAAAATGGCGGTCGTTCCTCACAAAGTAACCGTAAAAAAGTTTATTTATTACCTCGTATTTTGAATACTTAAAGCGAATTTGGAGTTCAAAAGTCCTACACAAAATAAAAATACATATCTTTAATTAATTTAACTATTTATAATTGTATTTACATTAATATGCGTTAGATTACAAATTTTTTGAGAAATTTAAGCTTTTTATTTCAAGTACAAAAAAAAATAAATAAATAAATGCTACAGAGTCTATCAATCCCTCCAAATATATATTTCATCTTCTACCTATATACATATATATAAATGTATTTTTCTAGAAAAATGACAACAATATATAATACTTACATGATACATATATAACAAAAAAAAAAAAAATAAATAAATACAAGGCACACATGACAAGGGATATTGCTAAGCCGGAAAATGAAAGTGGCTACAAAAAGTTAATGCAAGAAAGTGAGAGATAACCTTGAAGATAATGAAACGAGAAAAATTGAGCGGATTATTGAATCAAATAATAATAACAATAATAATGATGAAAAAAGTAATCACAATAAAAAGAGCAGAAGGAAAAGAATAAATGAATTTTTTTCCATCGAATTTCCCCTATACCGTCTCTATCATTTGTCAGAAGACAAATCCCTCGTTAAGCGGCGGAATAATGATTAGAAAAAAGTGTAGGAGGAAAAAGGGATGGAGTTACCACCGTTGAGCAATTATCGACAGTTAAACCAATCATTACCGGGGGTAAATTAAAAATATTTTAATCAAATAATTTTCTCATTTTATCATTTTTTATTATAATAGTAAAATCTAACTATTAATTTTTTTTGAGTTATTATTTATCGACTCTTTCCCTCTTTCTCTCACCCTCTCGCTCTTTGTCATCTTGGTCACAACGGCGTAATATCTTCACCCAGAAAACAATATTGTCCGCGGTCCAGATATTACTCAGTGATGCGCTTGACATCACAGCATGTGTATTTATTAAATAAAAATAAAAAATGACCAAAAAAAATATTGAAAATCAATAATAAATGTGTTTAAATAATATCTTTCAATTAGTTTTTATTTTTACGACTGAACTACTAGTCTAGACAAATTAAACCCACACATCATATGTATTAATAAATACCTCATCCATGTCCACATACATAAATGTGTGTGTTTTTATTTATTTATAGATTCCAGATGGTCGTTTGTGTAGTTTTAGACGGTGAAAAAATTTGTTCCTCGGTAAACAATGATCGACTTTTTTTCTATAATAGATATTGATTGAGCTCCGGGTGCGGAATTCATCCAACAATTTAACAATAGAATAAGTGAAAGAGAAAAGCGATCCATTACGTGCGAATTTCCATGATAACCTGAACTGGCGGTCTGCCCGTTTGTGTCTCCAGCCTGTTGCTTACTGATTGGAAATTGGGACAAGTGATTGTTTTGTGCTCGGTAGGACATTCATGGCTCTCTGCTGACCAATCTATTGTCAAACAGTCTCCTATACATGTATATTTATATAATAATCCATTACAAGTACCTTCTATACATGCGCGCCAATAGACAGCTTTATTTATTTAAAAGCTTTTACTGGATTTTACAACAATTCCCCGCACGATGCAGATTAATATTTACGTGACCGGAATTTCATTGACCTTTTAATAGAAATTATTATTGAGTATCTGGAGGGCAAATTTTTAATTTTAAATTATTCTGTCTGGCCTTTCAAGGTTAATTCGCAATTGATGATTATAATGAGTTTTTTATTGATCAATGTCAAGCATAGTTAGAAAAGTTAATTATGATGTTGTGTTAAAAATTTTTGTTTTTTAGATTGATTTTCAATCAATTTATAATCATATTAGATTTTTGAATATTTATTCTAATTAGAAATAAAGTGGAGGCATATTGAAATTATAGTAATAGGGTTGATTTATATTGAATTGAAATTTTATTAAAATATATAATCGGACGAAAATAAAATTAACCGGGAATATTGTGAGAAGTTTTACGTGAATAGTGAAAATTAAATTAAAAAGAAATCTGTCAAGTATGGACTTTCTTTTGAGGGAAAAGATTTTTCTATCGAATTCACTTGTTAATAAGGATTCAAACTTTTTTCATTGTTTCTGAAGGTAATGTTACTATGACGATTTAAGTCAGCATTCAATTTGTGAGAGAGTTTAGAATGATGTAGATTCTACAAAAAAAAAAATTAA